TCCAACGACTTGTAAACAATGCCGCGTGAGTGGTTACCGACAGTTCATAACGAAGCCGCTCCCGTTGAAACAAGAACTTGCGTCTCCCTACAACTGCTGATGGAGTTCACTTGTAGTCTGTTAGTTAGGACGTTAGGCAGCTAGAGTAAATGTAAAGTTTTTTATCGAAGTGTTTGAACGCACAGCTGCGCGGACTGCACTAAATATTCGAGTGGCACACTGTAGTTGAACTTACCGCATGGGTAACAGAACACGATCCAGCTATCAGCCGACACGGTCCACTATCTCTTATTTTCATACGTGAAGATTAGGGAGTATAGACTTTCACTGTAGAAAGCATTAAGGCATTGGCAAACGCATATACAGAAGGAGAATACGAAAGGAAATTCAAAGGAGCATTATGTTTCGGCCCTCTCCACGCATTAGTTTGTGCAAAACATCATCGATCCGATGGTAACACGGAATCAGAACCTCTCACCAGACCACAGAACCAACATCAGGACTAGGCATGGAGGTAAATGGGCAGAGGTCACGGTTGGATTTAGAGACATCTCACGGTCATCCAGACGTCAGCCATTATACGAAAGGTCAATCAGCAGACCAACTGGAATACTCATTTCAACCACCAACCGTAACCGGAGGTCGGCCTGTGTGATTAGGCATTCCATAAACAGCTGCACACAAAACATTTATGGAATTTAGGAGATTCGCAGTGATTAAACACACCGGCTTTCGTTCGGGCGTGTCCATAAGGTTTCCCTATGACAGCGTTTATTGTACAGGAGCTGTTCTTAGGCAGTCTTGGTGTTTTTTTTAACATGAGGCAAACTTTTGTGGACAAGAACAGTGACCTCTAGAAGGAGGTAGACATTACCAAACCATTGAGTGGCCAACTTGTGTCGAAACAAAAATACGAGCAATATCATTTGGTTGTGGAGTCAGCAACAGTGGGGACTCGAAAAGTTTCCAAGATTACAAAGGCCAATTTTCGCGACGCGTCATCATTATGGGAAGCAACTATATGTACAATATTATGTTAAATACAGGGTAATCTGTTGGGTGCGCCTAATAAATGAAATAATACGCCGGATAGTATTGTCTGGAAGAAGTGACTGTCAGGATATTACCAAAATACGGCCACCCTTCAAGACTGCATTTTGTTCTTTCCTGTGCAACAAGTACTATGTTGGAACAAATCAATGACAACGTTGTGAACAAAGTATACGAGATTGTGGACAGTGGGTGAAATTTTCAGTCTCAAAAAAACAGCCAGTATAACACAGTTGATTTGTCTATTCTCGGTTTATTGATGATAGTTTTAGAAAGAGCCAAACAGATGAGCACTGTTGAACTGGTGTTCACTAGCACTGGTGTTCGCTAAACTCGTAACTTATCAGCAAACAGCGCATCACGTCTCTTTGAAGCATGAACTTTCATTTTTGGTCTTACATTTGCGGCATTAAGACGGTCTCTAGTGAAAATCACTTAACAGGAGAATCAATATTGTTAAGCTGAATTACATTGGAAATTACCTCTATCGGCACTTCCTTTCAGCGACAGATAGTACGTACTGCCCTCTGGACGCGGTTTGCGAGGAATCGAATCCCCCGTGAATGTTTCCAGATAGACTAGTATGGCTAACTTTGGTTTATTTTGGGTTCTATTTACTCGTTCTACACTAGGTGAATTGCTTGCGACAGCTGCATTACGTCCGATATCTATATTGTCAAGACCAAAAGATGTCTCATTTACATACTGATCAGATCAGTATACTGGTTGTCTGTTTCTGCAGGACAAGCTTAATGGACATCCTAAAAATGTCATCTGAGTGAATTCCTCTGCGCGTGCAAGCACAATAAGGGAACAAATTGCGAAATTGAATGATTTTCATGCAGTAAGCTTTGGAAACGATATCTGTCAGATTGTAACGTGCAATTCAGTTTTTACTTTGTCTGACGATACTGGCCATACTATCCGAGCAATTTCACTCAACCTAGCTGTCAATCCTAATTTTTCAACCATTCTATCAAGCGTTAACCGAATCGATGGGCTCTGCACGGGTCATATGAGGAAGTTGGGTGACTGAGCGTAAATTTACTTTACTGGAACAAAGAGCCTAATTGCTCATTCGTTTTTCTTCTATAGAAAGATGTTATCCCTAAGGTTTGTATTTGAACTGATGGATAGAATTTATCGCTCGTGCAATACTGCATGCTCAAATCGAGTTGACGCCATTTCATTAGCCCAAGTCTGCAAGCAAAAATATATGCCCTTGATGATATTCATGGATAAAAAGTTAGAGCTACGAACTTAACTGAATTTCTATTTAGAATTAACATTTGCCTCACACTGAGTTGGCTACTAGTGATGAGACTACTGACAAGTAACATATTCCTTCCAAACGTTCCAGCAGATTGTCCAAGCTGTTTTTCGGCATACTCGTGAATATAAGCTGTTAGGTTTCGTGCTCAAACCGATTTATTGTCTTCAGGTGTTGCGTAACGTTCGAAAGTCCTAATTAGTCAGAGTTTAGTGAACATAACTGCCTAGGAAAGTGCATCTTCAAGATATGGCTCTTTTCAATTCAATTTTTTGCGTAAAAGCCGATTTATGAGCCAGAAGTGATGAAACTTTTCAAACTGGTAGAAAATACTGTGGAAAAATTCACAGCCTGTGAATCTGCTAATTGCGAGTGATAAATCTATACAACTTTTGCCTACCACATAATCAAACCTGTACGGGGTGAGCAATGCACAACTGTCCTCCTCTAGGCTGCCATCCTCATGTGAGCGTTTTCAACCTGCCGCTTTATGGCGTATGTTGCTTTCCTCTTTCCATAACCCCAGAATCGAGGAAGACTTGATAAATGCTTGGGTATATGTATACCACCTCAAATCTCAGGTTGCCAGTTTGACAGCGTTACAATTTCGGCTTGACCGAAGACAGTGCTTTTGTGTTATCGAGCTACAAATTCCGCTGTACGTGTTTGAAAGTGTACGCACATGGTAGAGTGTATAAGGACACGCATATATTTGCAAATGTGTGATGTGAAGTTGGTGCACTGTTATGTAGTATAGTGTATTCTGTATTTTGACTATCGACACAGAAGTGAGAAGGAAATTTTTCTTAGTCCGCCGTAGGCGCATTCCAACAATCTTCCCATGGCACGAAGGAAAGTTCGAGTAAAAAAATTGAGTGCGACCTACTTTTACCGTAATAAACAACTTGTCATTTACATCAGCAGTGTAATTCGATGTTTTGGTGGCAGACAAATTAAGGCAGTTACCTAAAAAAGATTATTCTTCTGAGTTTATAACATAAAGCATGTTGTACGGTCCTGAAAGCCATGCAGAGCTCAGTCACTTTAGCCTACTCGGCACACCGTATGTTAATAACGCGTGTATGATATATACAGATGTTTGTCTACGGTTAGATCTGCGTATTGTGACTCAATACCAGGTTGTTGGCTCACATATTCATGCCCATAAATATCCATGAATTATGTTGTTGCGAGTCCTTTTTGTCTGGCGGCTTTCGAACGATCTGGTTCAGCTCGATACATCACGTTGAGCTACCCAGCGGGATGGGTCCGGTGATCTGCGTTGATACAGTAGTGTGGTCACCCTTTCCACGTGTTTTGCATGTTCGATTTCGCTGTGTGAGGGCCTGCGCTCCGTAACTATGTGGAGTTCAGAGATGTATGCTTTCGATTTTTAGGTTCTTAAAGTAACAGTCTTTTGGAGTGGGTGGGTGGGGATGTGCTACTCCTGAGTGGTTTCTTTTCAGAAGATTTTCATTGATCGGTAGGATAAATGTTCTTCTTTCTAGGTGTGAACACTCTGGGTATGACCTTCCACCTGGATTCGAGTGATCTGAACGGACAGGACCTGAAGGCTCATGCGTCTTCAAACCCACTCGGTCTTGAACCGTACACAAGGAGCTGAATTCCATTACCTGAATTGGTTGAATATGCTTTAATGTGTGTGGTTTTTTTAAACTTATTGCTCTAAAGCAGCAACATTATCCAACCACGCTTTTCTATTCATTCATTGAGTTGTGCCCAGAATCGATCAAACAATATGTCAACCAACAAATTGATTCAACCACCGAATCCAAGTCTGTTAAAGTTACGAACCTAATTCACCACAAACAACCAAGTTCCCGTATCAAGACTGACAGAACAACGACAGCAAACCATGCGGAACGTATCAGTCCCGGTTATAGGCAACACTGGTGAATGCATTGTTTCGAGGCCAAAAGCAACGGCTGAATACAAGTCCATCATTTGGGGCAAAGTGGAGGGTTAGTTTTTGTTTCCAGTCAAGTAAAACTGCAACAATAAAAAAATAACCTGTAGTTATTCACGACAGATTCCGACATTTGACAAAACCGGAGAACAACTACATGAAATCAATAAATATTCAAACAGTCCAATCCACTGAACACTCAGATGATCGGTATGCATGAAAGTTGAGAGCAAGATGACAATAACCAGTAGTGAGTGGCGTTCATTGATTTAAGTGACATCATGTGGATTCAAACACCCATGAATTGCCGTTCACAGTGTCCACGAGGATACAATTAGTTGTTGAGATACCATAACCTGAATTAGATATTATATTATCTATTTACTTGGAGTTTAAGGGACACAGTATACTGGTTATTCAAGAGTTCCAAAGTTGGGTTTGGTTTCTAGTTGCCTACCTAGCTTACATTTCAGATAACACAGGAACTAAATTTAATTTTAGGTGCACCTGCGAGTTTTCATTTTTTTATATCAAAACCGCATTTCTATATCTCACCATTTACAGGGAAAAATTTCATTTAACCAAAGAGCTAATCGCTGCCCAAATTTAGTCACTCCGAATTACACTGAAGAGACTAATGTTTGAGGTTTTGGGCGATAAACATGTGTCTAGAACTAACAAAGCATTCACTGCCTTGTTGTTTGCTTCCATTTGATTCTCCCGAGTTGTTTCCTTCTGCTCCATTTCCAACAGGGTTCAGGTGTTAGCTCAAAACTACCCCGTGTCACGTACATCAAAGCCATTGATGTGTGGATCAATACCTGCCTACTCTTTGTGATTGCGGCGTTGGTCGAATTCGCTGTTGCCTATCTCATTGCACCTAGTGATCCGCCATTTGACTGTGAGAACCAAGTACGTGATATGATTCGTGAAGTTTTGTCCGAAACACTAAAAGATACCCGATGTTGCTGTTGCTACACCAAGTGCACGAGTCACAAACCCATCAAACGAGCTCTTTTCTCTAAAACGGGGAAGCATGTCAACAGTTCCAGCAAATGCAGTCGAAGCAGCACGGCGACAAAGGGCCGTAGTGAACATTCAGCGACAGCAGCAACTGTGTGTTGCAAGTCCATCAATCAGCAACCACTCTCTACTTCCAACTCCAAGAGGTGCCCTCTATGTCAAGCGATAGAGTCCAACTGCTGTCAGTGTCCCCTGTGTGTTCGGATCAAATGTTCGAAAGCCCCAAAACTGAATGTTGAGAAGGTACGTTGCTTTTTTAATGTATGAATTATCAATGGAATTTACACACAGAAAATGATCAGCAATGACACAAACGAAGAGAACTTTTTGTGAAGGAAACAGTTCAATGTAGAGGAAAACAATTTCTGTAGAATTCCCAAGTAACACTATAACAAGAGATGACCTCCCGAAGCTTATTGGGGAACATATTGTGCTGGTGTTTTAATTAAGTCGTTAGGTTATCAATAACCTCTAGCGACCTAGTACTAACATCTATCTGAATAGATCTTAACAATATGACCCAGTTTCCCAGCCCTTGTCCCGCTTGCTATATAAATAACACAGTTATGAAGTGAAGTGGCTTTGACGTTTAAATCTGATGAAAAGCGTTATTTCCAAATTTCATAATTCGATAACAAAACCTTGTGAGCAATGAGTTGATTTAAATCTCTCCCTAAGCTAAGGAAACCAGAACTTTGTCATCAGGTAGAGCAGGGGCTTGCAAACAATAAGAGTGGTGGTAGCCCCACACCTCAAGCCAATTGCGTTTCAGATATTTGAAGAAAAAACAATTCAGTGATGACTTGTATGTTTTGGGAAACCTCGACTGCGGAAGAGCTGATTAATTTGTATCACACTAGTCCATTCAGAGAATAAAGCTGCAAAAGTGCTCTTCATTAGCCAAGACCAACCGTATAGTTCGTGTTCAAAAAGGTCAGGTAGCTTATCGTTCGGATTTCAGCAATCAGATTACTGTAGCCAGAAGATTCTAGTTTAGTAGATGATGTTAACTGCATTCTTACGGAACAAATGATATCAGTCTGAACGTATTCCACTACTCATAAGGCAGCTGAAAAATTTCAAAGGCCCACGACTTATTTCGTCCTTCTTGGGGCTCATCAAACAGGAGCCGTCTCCGAGTATCCCTCGACTTTATGTTCAACCTGAACTCAAATTGCAAGAATTCAGCAAAATACACTTATTTGCTTGCCAATTTGGTTTTTACGGGAGACTCACCCTGAAACCAGCTGTAGATGAGTATCCAACCACTTTGGGAGTAGTGTATCACATCTAAACATGTATCACGATATCTCAAATATTGTATCAAGTGAAACATGAGGCGGCCTGGTGCGGCACATTGAGTTGCTTAAAACCATCATAATTCAGCTGGGATCCAGGTGAGTCTCCCGTGAAAACCAAATTTGTGTATAAATGCGTGTATTTCGCTAAAAGTACCAGTTCCTTCAGGCGAGTTTCATTGCTGATTGAATATGAGGTTCTTGGGATGCTTCTTATTTTTGACGCATTGATAGTAACTAAATGCAGTACGTAGTGTTACCAGGGAACGCAAAACATAAGGATTTTCGTACCATTATCGACAGTGTATACCCAACAGTGAATGATGTAGAAGAATTGTGTTCAGTTCTTTGGCTAAAACAGTTTTTCAGAGTAGGGTGTTTTCACCAAGGATAGATGAAACAATAAAAGGACGTACACATGTCAAAGTGATTGGCCAATCTATTTTTTGATGCCTTATTACTCTTTTTCCGATCACCTATGGAGGGAAATGGTCACATATTCAGGGCCGTATTCTCGCTTAGAATCGTTGTGGACTCTGTAACCTTATCGCTTGTTTCCCATGCCATGTTAATTGGTTCAATCAGCTGGACTTTGCAAAGCTAATAATTACTGAGATTTACTCCATTAGATCGATCCTAGTCCTAAGAGCGTCAGAATTAACATAAACAACTGCACCAAAAGCATGGACAGTCATAAGACTTATTAGAGTTTTAATATTTACGATTATAGTGTACGCTTGAGAAGCACAACGCAGATCGATAAAAGGTGACGGCAAATTATGAGTGGGTGGTTCATTTTGGTCTATTTTACTTGGAAGAATTTCAACGTTAAGGCAGCTGTAAGACAATTGAGTGCTAGATGACTCGGGGAAGCAAAGATGAATACTTTATGGAAGAGAGATGATGAACAAAGAACTGCAGAAACAGAAAGCAAATCAATTATTTCCCAGACATAAATAGAGCGACTATCTGAAGTGAACCATTCTGAGATATCGATTTTTATTCTTCTTCATAAGACAGTGTAAGAATTCGTTCTAAGACTTTTTCCTAGACACTGCGAGACACCGATTTCAAAGGTTTCTGACTTTCGGATCAGTGAATAATTTTCCTTCCCTAGCTAGCCGTAAGCAGTTGGAACATCACGAAGAAGCACGAAGTCTTGCTTGTGGTGCATCTGTCTAAAGTAATGAGTTTGCCGCCTCATTGGACCAGTGACACAGTTTGCCTGTTTCTTGACAACAATGGATGATAAACTAGCATCCAAAAGAGACATATGAGTGATCGGGATGAGACGATGAGGTTTAGGATCATGCATTCCAAACTCTGCGATCATAGATGGGGGCGGAAACGCCACTTTCATGCTGAGAAATTGTGATGAATCTCTCAGCGACCCTACAAACTTCCGTAGAGAAAAATATGAATCTACGTTTGTAATAACACCACCTACAGTATGAAATCTAACTTTACTCTATCACCTCTCTAAAGGCCTGCTTAACTCGATAAATGGCATTCTGGTTTCTCTATTGTCTCAGATCTTGAAAGTGCCAAAAATAAACCTCGAAGTCAAAATGACAGTTCCAGTTCAAGTACAAGTAGACACTTAACTCAGCAGAGAGTAAGGACAGCCACAGTTCTTTATAAAGCGTCCTTAATGATAGCATCTCAAGGTGCCCAAACACGTCAGTATACCTAGTATCAAAAATATGAATGATGACAATTTGGAAACTGGTTATGGTGATAGGAATCAGCTGATCATCCCCGCACACCGACCTAGTGTATTTTGTCAGCTTAGCGTCAGGTTGAAGTGACAATGTCTGTTAAAGTGAAGCAAATGTCTGCTATTTACAATCCTGAACAGAGCGGCAACTTGGTAAGTTGCTATTCCTTTTGCAGATAGTCAGCGACTAGCTTATCCGTCGTTTTGGATAATGGATGATGATGATGACAGTTTAGAAATATGTATCTCAGATCCAGAATAATATTTGCACCAAAAAATGTCTTTTACCTGGTAGAAAAACACCTTTGGTTGATAGAATACGCTGCACACAGGAAAAGTCGAAAACTTCATGAAATCGAAATCGCCTTATAGGTAGTATGACGCAATAATGCATTCGACACTGTGGGCTGAGAAACAGTTGCAGACTTAGGTTCAAAGTCTTTGAGCAAAAGCCAGTGGACAATTAAAAAACCCGCTTATCCCTGTTCACTTCATTACTACTGTTACCGTCAACATAACAATATGTGTACTGATCAAGTGAGTACACGCAACCATTACTAGAGGTGTTTTAAGATAGATTTTTATCAAGGGAGATAACGGTTATCCAGTCCTTCAATGCAGTGACTGAACTCTAAAAATTTTCTTCACAAGCACTTTAACACCTACGTCCCTTTGAACATAGCCTTTTGCATGCTGTTTGAAGCGCACCAAAAAATCAATAAATGTTGCTGACAAAAAGTGTTGAACATAGAGTGTCAGAAATGCCAGGTAGCTATTTAACTCAACTATCAAGGAACTTTTTCGTGATGAATAGTGTGCTTGGGAATCCAGTATAATGGCGCATCAGAGCCTATACTCATAGGAGGATACCAATTGTAGGCTCCGCGCATTTCGAGAGATGGTTACAGTAAACAGATGGAACTATTTCCATTAGTTTCGTGATGGAATCTTCAGGTTACCAGTTCGCGCAAATTATGTGGAAGGACTTTATTACGGTGATAGGTATGATGCACTTTACTGGATCACTCATTCCAACGATTTAGCATGCACATGAGCTTAAAAATTAATATACAGAAAAATACCCTTGCGAAATGAGGGCCGAATCTCTAGGAGGCCCATGAATAAATCTAAATTTTTATCTATCTAAATAAGGGAACTAGTAAGGTAAGCTTCCCTAGATGTTCTGTAGTATTTGCGATATAGTGTCGCTTGAACTCTTCCAAACTGAGCAACGTATACACAAATTCCCTATCTTATGGCTACTTGAAGAACATGTGCATAGTGAAATTTTCTGTCATCATTTGATTGAAGTGATGTGTTACGTTTTCAGCGAAAATTTCCAGGAAAATTCGGTCAACTACATCGTCTTTGTTTCTTATATTCACAACTACCATGTTATTTGATTTTTACCGCTGTTAACCTTTCCGGAAACTTCTTAAGGCATAAACCCAGTGATTAGATTTAATTTTGGTATTCTCAAGACAATCGGCTTACGGACTAATTCCTCTCATTGATAAAGTTCCTCACCACCTCCTGATCGATTTCTTCTTCCGTTATGAGAAAGCGTTATAATTAACCTCAAGTAACTCCCTCTTAGCTCAGTCTCTCAACTCAGTTACGTTTATGCAGCTCACAATGCATACTGGATGAGTGAGATTTTCGAACTTAACATCAAAGGTTGTATCTTCTGTGATAACCAGCTTCTGACTCCGTTCAAAACGGGAGAATCAGTTATTTTACCATAATAGCAATCCACGGGCAGGTGATCATGCATATCCTGTTTGTGAGCAGAAAACACCCGTAGTCCATAAACCGGTCAGCAAACAAGCAATCAGCACACATGGCAACCTAGGATATCATTATGGATATCGTGACCTGGTCAGTTTCAGGAGAGATACTTATCATTAAGTGCAATTTAGGTTTGCGTGTGGGCAAATCAAACGGAAAGTCAGTTGCTTCTATAGCTTTCGCCTGCAACCAGAGTAAGGACAACCGGGTGATGCTCTAGGTAAAGAAGTTTGTAACCTATTGTTGTTGTTCACGAACGCTTCCTTTGGGCAGAAACAACCGTAAAAAACAGGTTTCTTGATTATCCAAATTTTGATGCTTAAAGGAGCATTTACTATGCTGCGTTTTTGAATTATAGGCTGAACCCAATGAATGCTGCGGCAAGCTAGACAAAAGTGAACCAAGAAGATCTCGGGACAGACGGCGCATTGTAATTCGGGAACCCTGCAGTTCAGATTACTTCGTTCCCAGCGTACCTGAACGTCAAAGACTGATCGGAAGTGCACCACTGCATTATGTGGAGGATCCACCAAGGAAGTCAGCACTCAAGGTCAGACGACCAAGCACCAAAGAGCCAGTACCACAATCGGAACTTCCAGATGTAGGCTCAAACCAAAAAGAATCCTTCTTTTCCATTCGGTCTATTCTTCGGTTGTTATATTTGACCGGCTTGGGGAAACGCAAACGAATTCCTTCGCCAAGGCGACCCCCGTCAGCAACCACGGGTCAAAAAGAGCAGGCTGAACCTTATGACTCAGAGATAGACGCTTATAGCCGTTTTTTATTCCCTGCTTGTTTTCTACTCTTCAATTGCTGCTACTGGTTTTTCTACCTTATAATTAACCGTGACTCACCAACCCCCCGATGAATGGCCTACTTATTTTTAATTGTCTTTCACTACTTCCTAATGTAGCAGTAGTGTAAATATGTAGCAGACGTTTCCCCAACATCGCTCAGCTCCATCTAGACCTAGTATTTGCAGTCTCAGCGCGCTGTCCACCTTAGAGTCTTCAGGCAAATTATCTGAGAGTGAATTTTATAATTATTCCTACAAGAGGTAGACTTTTTAACAGGCGAAATCTTTTTTCGTTATGTATCATTCTTTGTGATGACTTCACATACAAGTTCCGACTATGCCCCATAACAAATGACATTACAAGAGGTTGAAGTAGAAGTCCCGTGTAAAATTAAGAACCTATTGAAACTGAGGGGAGACGTCGTAGTGGTCTTACCCAGGCACAAGCAAAATAGCCCCCCGTCTAATTCGTTTTCTTCTTAAACGCACCATATCATGGGGCACGTAGATCAACTAAATACCCGTTACACGTCTTTTAGGAACGGTCTTGGTGTACACGTGGTGGCATAAGTGTAGAGAGTTTCAGAGTCTCGACAGGTTAATTAACTTAAAACGGATGGAAGCACGGGTTTACTGAGTGAGTAAGTATAACGAATGTGATGTTTTTGTGCTCATCTGGTTCCCGTTGTAGATGTATTACACAGCGGGTAGCGTATTTACTTAAAATAAAAAATATCAGGATCTCAGTATGTGTATCTAAGGGCAGAACTCAGCGGATTTGTGTGCTTATACGTCTGTTAAACATCCCACGTCAACAACCATAAGCGGAAAGCTTGAACAGACACTACAGTGGGGATAATTCCTGAAGAATCAAAAATTGTTCAAGCAATCTCCTAACCTATCGTGGCTGAGAAACGTGGTGTTGAATTCGGCACGCTGCAGTTGTTGCAGTATTGCTTGGAACGTCTGCGCTCTAAGACTGCTGTTATAAGCCCACGTCGTACTGGTGACTATCAAAATCGTGGTACAGGCTTTATCACCATAAAGTCAGCGAACACTGCCGACACATTAAAAACCTGCCCGACACAGCACTTCGACGCAGTTCATCCAATCATCCCCTTACCTCATCAAAAAGACATCATATACACTACAAACTCAGATGTGCACAATCAAAAAAGCCGGATAAGGCTATTTTTGCTTGCTTGCAGTCATTCACTAACAAGGTCACCTAGACAATCTGTAGTTCGGACTTTGTTGTAAACTTCGTTTGGGAGTCGAAACGTCATCCCAAACAACACGTTAAATTGGCGCTGTTATTCGCTCGAGAAGGCAAGTGACACACAACACCAGGTACCTCACATCTTCCACATGGATCACACAAACTGTCTTTCCACCATTCCATACAGCATCACCTCAATGATATTCCTGGTGGTTTTCTAAACAGTGCATTGAACAAAAGGGCGAATGACACTAATGCCGGCAATTTTATCCGGAGGGAACTTCTCTCACCTCACGCTAATGACTTACATAAACAAACCGTGGCGTTCACTTGTGCCCACTGAAATATGTTTTAGAACTTTGTTAATCTGTAGAGAATATTGGCACGCGCATCAAAATGTTCGAAAATTTCACATAACTTTGTTTGTGTTTTAACTTTACAATAGTGAAATAGAATTGTGTGAACATACCGTGCGCGTCAGTTGACTCACGCTACCACAGTAATTCTAACGTTACCATCGATATTCTAGGACCGAAGGATGCGAGCAGATTCAAACAATTTTGTGCCTAGTTGTCGGCGGTAGTGAACAAGCTCGAGTGACTGCACTGCTGCTTTTGTGATAAAAAGTTACGAATGTAATACACTAGTCCAACTCCTAAATTTCACTTCAGTTCAGTCTGTCTGCTACAAACTGTGTACCAAAAACACGTCGTTTTCAGTCGACGCAGATTAGGTCACCAGAAATCGTGGTAGCATGGGAGATATAGCCAAGTATTTGAGCTCAGTTAGTTTGGGCAGCTACGTAATGAAGGCGATAGACAACAACTGTGTGACTGAGTCATATCTATAAATGTCACTAACTAGGGGTAATTTGAGTCCCTACTGAGTTAGTGTTCTCATTCTTCGTTGCCATACTATACAGATTCCACCACTCGATTACTTCCACTCAGCATAGGAGTCACGAAAAGCAGCTCTGAGAGGCAGACGGTCCTCTAACATGCAAAGTACTTGTCTGAACAAGCGCAACCTAGGAAGCGATGTTACATGATGAATGTTCATCGTGTATCAGTTCTTTTATCTCAAAATCATCTAGTGTATCAACTCCCATAATGAGCACAACCAAATTGCGGCCCTTACCGCGGGGTCACAAGGATCAACAGAAACCATAATGGAGGAAAATAAAGCTTCCTTCAAATAATACTAAAGAGTTGAGGGGGGGTTGTGGACACAAAATTGATAAATCTGAATTCCGATCCGATTAAATAAACTGTATCTGAATGAGAAGAGACAAACACGGTCAGGAGATTGAAGAATACACGAGTCAGTCATTTGTAAGGCGCAACCACCATATCGATGCTATCTGAAAATAAAACAATCACCAATCTGTGAGGAGCTGTAGAATATCCCGATATAGGTACAGTTTCTTCATCAGGCTTCTTCGAGGGAAGCAGTTTTAATGTCTGTCAGTGAGGCATACACACTGCCAATGGCCTTTTGGCCCTTGGAGCTGACGCGCCTGATCGGTTGCTAGTGCGGTTCCTGTTGCCCTTAAATTCCAACCACATTAATGACTGTACCCAGCCCATAGATATCATACACTATTCGCCAGCTTATTAGTGCACAACTCGAGTGAGAACCACATTAGTCGGATGAGCTAAGGTTCACCCTTGGTCGAGATTTTAGACTTCACAGTTCAATGTTAGCGCCAAATCTCACCCCCTGACACAACTAGAAGTTCCCAGTTTGTTCCTACTTTATGAACAGTGCCAACAACTGTCAAAGAAGGGGATTTTAGGCTAGAAAAACCCAACTAGACTTATGATTTGATGAATCGTTTGCAAAAGGACATCTCTTTAGGGTCAATGATATAACGAAGTCGTTCCCAGAATAGACTATACCGATCGTGGGGTTGCATCAGCCGGTGTGCCTTCTGTTTCCTCCAGAGATGTGGTAAACAATCAGAAGCGAACATTTCACATTGTTAATCACATGTTTTTTCTTTTCTGAATAAAGGAAAGGTTTTGTACTGTATTTACTTAGATTAATCTATCTCTTCAAAGAATCGAGATATTCAAAGGGCAATAGGACCGGCAGAGGAATACACGGTTTGCATGACATATTGGTGTGCAGTGTATACAAAAAGCAGATGAGGAGTAAGCACTTCCTTGTGCTTTGTGAAGTGAGGCATTGACATTTTGCCTTGTTTCGTTAAGCTTGATTGCGCAGGTGACAGTATCAATTCGTGTGAACATTTACTAAGCTGCATTCGCCAGCTGGCAGCGTTTGCATTCCGGAAAATCGCACGGGTATAATCTTAAAATTACTTCGGAAGACGAAAAGGATCAAAATCTCTGAAGCATTACTCAACACTGTTCATCAAACACTTTGAATCTTCGCTAGCATTTTCCGCTGTCACCCTAGCTCACTTTTTGGCAGCATTCTACAGTGGGTGACTTGATGTCAGTCGGAACCTTGGATTCCATCTCCGTGAATGAGCCCATCAAGCTGCTGTTTGTTGCATGACTTTTGATAGATTGTGTGGGCATGTTCGGAGATGGTCCGGGGCTGACAAACACTGGTTGTTGCACACGAGCGTAAAAGTTGTTGATAGCTCCAGGCCATCTGACAACGTTTGAATGTACAGTCATCGTTTGGTTTGGTTCAGAAGAGCTGGAACAGTGGATGTAGTCTTGTGGTTTTCTGGACAGTTCCACCTCTCCTGTGGCATTCTTCGTAGGGTCGGATGGATTGATACAGAAACGGAATCCACGATGGCTGCTGGTTAAGCACGGACCGCAAAGACTTGGTAGTGCTGAAGCCAGTATACTCGAGAATCCTCCCAGCAAGGTTAGCAGATAAGCCCATCCCAATTGGCAGCGACCTAAAAACGGAACAAATTTACATATTAACCTTCCAAAAGCATTGAGGATTCTTTCGAAAAAAACATGTTTGTTGTCCAACCTTGAAGAACTATCGCGATAACCCAACTAAATACCGGGATATCTTCAGTTTCATATTGAAGTACCTTTTACAACATGCCACAGTACTTCCGAATCATCCATGTATCCTAACAAAAAAAACAACTTACCTAAATGAAAAACTGAACTGCTATCTCCACAAATTTGTGTGACCTCTGGATTGTCCGACCAGCCAAGAGGATAAAGCACGCAGCAGGCTAACACAAGGGAACCTGAAAATGTCAAGAAACTAATTGCATTCATCTAGCTCAGGAAAATGAACAAACATATTTTGATAAAGGCAATTTTAGCCGCATAATCGGGGTCGAACCACAACATACTGATATGGGAGTATGGAGCTAAAGTGGAACAACTGTATCTAGGTACGAAGCGTCATTTGCAATACATTTCATACAGGACAAGCAAAAAACACGCGAGTCTGTCTGGCTTAACAAATTATGGTAGATACGTCATCCGTACACTCAATCCCGATATTTGACATTTGGATGACTACTGAGTGTTTAGTGGTCGGTGGATGCGGTAATTGCAGAGTTCACATTTGTTTGAAAAGTCTTCCACTTGTCTTCGAGCAATTATTCTGATGAGTCCATACTAAAAGGAGAAAATATCATCCCGGAATTTTGTTATTTTTGCATCTCATAATGTGTACATGTGCCTGGTTGTCCAGGTTTTGAACTCCGAAGAGCTGACATGCGACGTAGGTATGGGTGAATGTGGTCAATCTTGAGCGGTGTGATTTGGTTGCACGACACCTCGAACGACGACCCAGTAACTATCCTGATTGTGTCGATCAGTGGAACCGCCTGTCAGGATTCTTCAATTAGGTAGAACTGCGGCAACTTGAAACAGTTTTTTCTAGTCGTAGGTGGTTGGTTGCTAAGTTTGTAAAGTTCTCATTCACATAAATCACACAGTTCAAGAGAACCGGATGAGTCAAGCATGCATTAATGGAGTACTGGTAACAACATAGTCTTGCACGTACGATGTCCCAGATTAAGACCCTGCACGACCGAGCGATGAGCTGTAATAAGAAGAAAACCTGAATCCATAGCTTTTTCCCTTCTGGTGTGGACTCACGAGAATAAGCGCATCAGGGCAAAAAGGGAGATTATTGGGTGTTTGTTGCTAATGGCGAGTACCTCAAAAGAATATGTACGCCCAAAATCGCGGTGTTCAGTCTGTTATGATGAGCTCACCGAGATTTTCTTCAGTCTCCAGCTATTCTAAACTTTATGATCAGCCTCAAGCACAGGTGTTTGGTGGCAGACCAACATTGATTTTTATAATCTTGATATCTTCGTTCTAGTGAGACCCAGTATAAGTGCTCTTCATGACAAACTATCGACGCATAAGAACCATGTTGGATAAGAATATTTCTAATTGATTGTGCGAAGCCCCCTACTCATGCAAACAGCGTTTTGAAGAATATGAGCTCCTTCCATCTTTTGTGACTTACACACCTAAGCCAAGTGTACAATCGTTGTTAAGAAAGCCATAATTAATATCATCATGTAACTATACTTCTAAAACAAACTACCGGAACACTAGTACAGACGCGGTAGAAAACCACGGTTTGAAGTGTCTCAAAATACATCAGGGAGCTCAGTTTTGGATTTCTGTGCCGAATACCAAACTAAGTTTATTGTTGCTCAAGGAACGACTGGTGAAGACACCAGAAGTTACCAGCATTGCACGCCAATCGAGCACAAACTAACGGTCGGTCGCTGCACGATACGATAAGTGACAGTAGAATTTAATAAAACAAAACTCAAGTGACCCAGCTATCTACCTTCAGAAAGCAGCCACATTCAATCAAAGACTGGTCGTGAAGTAGATTTTCAGACTATACCTTGATGCATTCACAACAATATCCTTAAATTTAGGTCACAACGTCTTCCAACTTCAAGAGAAATCTTAAAGAAATATCGACGCTGCCTAAAGAAAGTCAGGTTTTCTTTGTAACATACTACTCATAAGGTTGCTGAAAATCCATCGACAGCCCACGACCGGTTTCGCCCTTCTTGGGGCTCATCAGGTAGGCGCAGTCCCCGGGTTTCCGTCAACCTTATGTTCTACTTGAAACCAAATTGCACGAAATTAGCGAATATATACTCATCTGCAAGCTAATTTGGTTCTTTCGAGAGACGCACCTGGAACCCAGCTGAATCTCTCGTTTGTGATGTTCTCAGGCAACTGAGAACTGGTGTATTAAGACTGCGTTGATTGAATTTGTTGTGGAGTACTACTCTTCCGGAAATTATCTTTCATATCTCATGTCCCGACATATTTGGATTTTTGATTTTTCCGGAATAAATTTGTGACTTTGTTGTTCTACATATATGGAGGTCTGCGATAGAGGATCGGATCTACCATTAAAATCAAATTACCGAACAACAGCCGTCGAAGGTCAGTCCCAGAAAGCTGCATATGCATAAGCACAACTCGTGCACACCCACGGGCCCGTCACTATGTCCTACCCCGCACACTAACAACGCACTGATAATCCCACCTCGATTGGTGATGGAACAATCAATCGTGGGCTGTCGATGGATTTTCAGCAACCTTATGAGCAGTGCATTACAAAGATATACATGTTCGCGATATTTCAAATATCGTAGCGACTGAAACATGAGGCGGCCTGGTGCAGCACATTCAGTTGCCTGAGAACATCATAAACGAGGGATTCAGGTGAGCCTCTCGAAGGAACCCAATTAGTTTGCAGATGAGTGTATATTCGCTAAAGCCAGGTTTTCTGTTTAACCGACTCCATATACTGCACCAGGAAACCCTTTTAGTAGATGCTTTGGAATCCTTAGAGTTGAAACATTGAATTTATCTCGAGGAACGTCCACTGGTATACATTATGCGTTTGTACCTTATGTGAATGAAAACCTGCTCATGTTATCCTGAAAAAAGTGATTTAAATGAGCGATATCCCAAACTTAATAAAGTTAGAAAACTATATCAAATTGTTCTACTTTATAAGTTAATTTTGATAAGTTGCAGGTAAATAAAATTAGGTAGGCGTGATTTATCGATCTTATCTGTCGTACATCGGAAAAATTAGAAAGTCAAAACGAGGTGGCGAAATAGTTTTGCGATTCGCTTTTTTATACCCACCGGTGAAGATTCAATCGGACTGCTAACAGAATAACAACAGAACTGAAATTGTTCTGAAATACCTCCAAGATAACAGATCAAACATCATAAATTACAGCGGATGTTAATTTGTGGTCAGCAAATACATTGCTAAACGTTAAATGGTGGGTATTTACCAAGGCCTCTCTTTTTGGGTGTATTTTATCTTTAGCCACTTATTTCGCTTCATTACCCACAATCTGAGAGAACAAATCTAAGTAAATAAGATGGGTGTTTCGACCAGTTTACATCAACTGTTTGTGGGGAGGTTCACCAAAGGAGTAGTTTGAGAAGGATTTTTAGGCACCATAATATGCAAAACGTCTCTTTGGTGAAAGAGTTCTTCTTGCGCGCAGACCGAATGGACAAAGTTTAGGAACAACAACATCTAGACTCCTCGAGTCCTTCAAATCATACACAAATGCACAGAACACTGCACTCAGGCCACTGAGATTTGGCTTAACGCTTTTGCATTCCAATAGGTTGTTCGGAGACCAACACTGTTATTTAGATACAATTTCCAGTTCACCGGCTATAGTACACTTTTTAGGTAACGCTTCTAACTATTTCGGTAATTTACCCGTAAACGATAAGAAAATTCCTAAGCCAGTGTTTACTACCTAACCAAAAACATAACCTTCTCAGACAGACCAGGGGATGACCAACATGGATGTGATGATTTTATTGATTTGGCTCTTTATTTGTAAGTTACGATCCCCATGTTCTCAGTCATTTGCATCAATTCACACGTTTGTAGCAACAGGAGGCTAAATTGCAATCACATTGTTCGAACTGATTGGACAAGCACATGGATGCATGATCCAAAAATAGTTACTTGATAATTCGTATTAGTTACGATAGTATTTATGGTGAGGACATGCGCGATTTTTGCGGCTCATTAAATTTGGTGTGAAGGAATTCGACCGCCATATGATATTCACATGTATGTTTCTATCGGAGCACGTGTTAAGATGTACTAGGTTTGGTACTTCTAGAAGTCAGGAATACAAGCCGGTGACAATAAACACAATACTTTTCCTCGTACTACTGATCAAACTTAGAAAGTGCTCGGAATAATTTATATAATAAACAAGTAAAGCCCGTCGATTTTATCGGCATTATCCTACGTTCACTCTCAGGGAACGTGTTATTTAAAGTACAGTTATGATACCGTGGGTTTTCAAAACTAATCACTTTGCAAACATCGATGACATGGGATGGTCGGTGTAAGTAAGATTATTTCATAGACAGCTCCACAGCGCATACTCAGATCACGTATCTGAAACGATTAAATTTTGGCTCTGGTATCATCAGCTACTGCTAGATGGGCTTAAGATGCTCTAAATGCCAATTTAATTACCATCAACTACGTTCCAGGGTTGATTCGAATTAATTTCCTGTTTCATGTCATCTGGTGATTCTGTTCTCTCAATTAGAAGCCATAATGAGGACATACCAAACCTCTTAGGGTTCTGTTGGTGTTGATGGCGATTTAACTTATGGGAAGCTCAAAGTTAAGTCCTGTATTACAACGGTAGAATTCTACCAAGTCTTTTACCTTTCGCCCTTTTGCGTCTTTTGAGTCAGGCTCTATTTGTATACTACAAATATGACTATTTCTCCATCGGTAGATAACCAGTTCTGTTCTATAAGTCATGCCGGTTATCCTTTTTGGAGCCACTTTTTGTTGTATCTGCTGCTTCGCCAATCTGTGATATCTGCTGCTGACCCGCTCCTGTGCCCAGTGCCTAAAAAAGACTCACAGAAGAGAACACAACAGCTGTATTCCGAACAAGTGAGTGCGAGAGCGTGAGTGCGTTCGAGTGCGAGATCAAAAGTTACAACGGCCGCACGCTATTTAAAGGGGATTTTCTGACATTGATCCACTCTGTCTGATAGGCATTATTGAACACCCGTCAACATCGATCGTGTTTCTCTGAAATGCCTGAACGCTGATCACATTCAGTTCTGCTTCTGTGGCGTGCATGAGGATTTATTGGCTTTTGCTGAGTTGATTGAACGATTGACTGGCTTGGGTGCTTGCGGTTTTTTTGGATGAGAGTTTGGTGGAGCA